TTGTGTTTAACTTTCGATTCATGTTCGTGTTTAACTTTCGATTCATGTTCCTGGGGTGTGGAACATAATGGGTTCTTATTTGCACTTGAGAATTAACAGTATTTAGTTCAGTACTTCTTTTAGAGGAGATGGTGACTGTCTAAAATTTCTATATCAGTAAATATGTTTTCAAAATCACTGTAGAAGAATGTGTGTGACTCTAAGGCCTGAGTCAGCTCCAAAGAGAACACAGGATGGACACATTGTGTGGTCCAATCTTCAGTTCTAAAATTTCTAATCTGAAGTTTGTATTTATTATTAATTAATGAGTGTAAACTTGTGGATAAAATAGACATTCACATTTAATATGCTGTTTGACCTTTTAATGAGGCCTCTCCCTTACAGACCACCATTGAGGTGTGTGTGTGTGTGTGTGTGTGTGTGTGTGTGTGTGACTCTAAGACAACATGGAAAAAGTTAGCTTTTGCTTCCCACATGCTCTGAATTGGCTATCAAATACTAATTTAATGATCTCCATATCTGAGGTTTATATTTTACTTTTTTCTTCACTTTTGTTCTAAACCATATGTGTCATATTATCCAAGATTTCCTGCAAGTTTCCCCATAAACAGTTCTCATAAACTTACTACAATCATAAATTCATAAATACATGCAAATGATAAACTGCTAGCAATGAAAAAGCACTTGAGTGTTGAATAAGCATTGTGGAGCCATGAGATTCCAAGGTAAACAATTAAAGATCTCTTTTTAATTAAATAAAAACACAATTTTACATTCTTACCATTAACTTTTTTTCTTAATTAATTCGTTTGATTTTATGAGTTTTGTTGCATCTCCTTCATTAGCTTTTCTGAGGGATTTTTTACATCACATTGACAACTTTAAGTTTTCTTCTTTCTCTTTCAGTTTTTTTCTTCCTTCCTTCCTTCCTTCCTTCCAGAAGATCTTGGGTGTAGGCCACAGGTGTGGAGGGTGCGGGGGTGAGAGGATTACCAGAGACAGAGTGGGGAACAGAACAGGCAGACTGACTGAAATACACTGCTGAGGGGAGCAGCGGGCAAGTCAGGAGAGGTCTGCTGTGCCATGTGGGTAGTGCCCTAGCCTGCAGGGGATTGAACTCATGCTGCTGAGCTGTGGATAGCTTCACAGTGGTATGCTTAACCCCTTATGCCACCAGGGAGACCTGAGGTATTCTTTTTCTTAGGTCTTGGTTGCCTTGTGTTGAAAGCTTTTGGTCTGCCAATTTTGGTACTTCATAATTACTTATATTTAAATATAATATGTAACAATAATTTAAACAGTTAACCCTAGGCCAGCAGGAAGGCCCTTTACAAGCTCTTTAAACATATCCTTCAGTTAGAGTCATCTTGAAATTAGTTCTATTCATTAAATATTTTTTCATGAGAATGAATTTATTTTGTCATTATATATAAAGGATATTTTTTTTTAGAGATTTTTTTTTGAGGGCCTCCCTGGTGGCTCAGGGTTGAAAGTCTCAGTACTGTCAAGCAATAGCCATCCACTGTGGTATGAGTTAACTCCAAGCCATGGAGCTAACCCACATGGCACAGCAAACCTCCCTGTCTCTCTCCCACTGCTCCCTTCCCCAGTGTGTCTCGGTAGATCTCCCTGTTCTTTTCCCAACTCTGTCTCTGGTGAATCCTCTCACCCCCTGCACCTCTAGCTTAAACCCCAATTCTTATATGCATATATTTTTAAAAATCATTTAAAATAATGATTTTATATCTATGCATGCAGAACTGGGGTGTAGAGCAAAGGTGTGGGGGTGGGCTCATGAGAGGATTCACCAGAGACAGAGTGGGGAGCAGAACAGGAGGGTCTACTGAAATACACTGTTGAAGGGAGTAGCTGGGTGACAGGAGAGGTCTGTTAGGCCACGTGAGTCAGCTCCCTCTCTGGGGATGAAATTCAGGCCACATCTGTGATAACGCTGATACTTAACCTGAAAAGGGTATCTTTGCTTGTTATTGAGTTCCAATTCATCTATTGAAGGATCACTGGATATTCAAACTAGAAACAGTCACAAATTACATATGCATTCAAATGTTTGTATGTATATGTATATATACACATACCCTTGTATGACTGTTTCTATATATATATCATAGAGTAAATTATAGCAACTCTTATTATTTTGAATAATTATGAGACTTTACATTGTTTGACCATAGATTTCATCCTCACCAACACTTGATTTTTCTGATCTTTTTGATATAGAGCTCTCTCAGGTATGATGTGGTATCTCCTTGTGGTCTTGATTTGCATTTCTGTGATAATAAACTTTTAAAAGTCTATTTTTTTCTACTCTCCCCAATTTTTGGTTCAGTGAGATTTTTGAAAGTTACTTTTGTAATTCCTTTACATAAGTAAAGTACCCTTAGGTTATTATAATTTACAACAAGTATTCCTATTAAAACATGATTATAATTGGAGGATGAATGAATGAATGGTGGTACTATTTCAGTCACTGGAATGACAATATGCTTTAATATTGTTTTTTTTAATCAGTGGTAATCTAAGCAGCTTATTTATAAAGAATAAAATTAAATTCAGCAATTTTAAGAACTAAGGAAGATATGTTGGGAAGTTTAGATATTGACATTTGCTATTATAGAAAAATTTGGAAATGTAGTGATTTTTTAGAATAATTAGTGACAAACATCATTAAACACTTATTGGTAATAGATGATATTAATTTGTCCATTATAATATAAAATTATATAATAAGAGTATTGGGGAAAAATATATAATGTCAAGATTTATGAATCTTGCTTTATAATAGAATTTAAACATCTGAGAGAGTCTTAAGAAGGCCTAAGTTTTCAGCATTTATGGTTGCTATGGAAACAAGTTACAAGCATGGGTGTTCAAGTCTTTTGTCCCCTGATATATTTCAGAGGCATTTGAAAATGAAAAACGTAAATGACACACTGTAAACCCATCATCTCCTATAGTCTGCAGGTGTGTGATGAGGTGAACTGTCTTCAAAATAGCCCAAGTAAACAATTTCCTGTTCAAACTGCTAGTGGCACATTCATGAGAAATCTACTTTTTCCACTCTTGCTTCACTCTGAAACTTCACAGGGCAGTTCTGAGCATCACAGATATTGTTTGTGATCACAGATCAGAACAAGTGCTGGTGAGGATGTGGAGAAGAGGGAACCCTCCTGCACTGCTGGTAGGATGCTCTGTGGGCCAGTCCCTGTGAAAATCAGTGTGGAGGTGTCTCCTCCTTCACTCAAGGATGCACAGCTTCCTAGCCAACAGAAGGTATGTGTTGCTCCTCTCCTCTCTTTCTGCTGGTCCATGTCTTTTAGTGGAATTTTATGAAGGTTAGATGTGAGGCAATTGATATACAATTCATATGTAATCAAATCAAAGAGAATCAAAGAGAACATTGGTTTCTTTATTGAATAATTCAGGTAAAACACAAGAAGTGAATGAAATATTTTGAGGATTTCTCAAAATATTTGAATTCTTTCCAGAGGAGCATTAGCCAAGTATATAATATCTGTGCATAATTATATTTGTAAATCAATGCCATTTAACTTGAAATTTCACAGATCATGACAAGGACAGTTTATTTTTTGTAATTTGTAATTGATACAAATATAATTCTATGTATTTTTTGCATTTAGTTCCATCTTTAAAATTAGACCCTTACATGAATTCATTCCACCATGAAGATCAAAGATAATACCACTTCTATAGAGTCAATATAAAAGTTTTTAATGTTAACAGAAATCGAGATGAGATAGCTTCTATAAAATGCTATTTTGAAACTAAAAGTATAGAAAATGCTTAAAAATAAACAAAGCATTGTACAAGAAATACCACACTAATAAAACAAACTCTCTCTAGTGAATTAGGTTACATGGTATAAATGTTATGAAATGGGAAAAACTTGGTGGTTGTATCAAAATAATAATTAAAATAAGGCATGTACTATTGACAGCTCAGAAATGTCCTATTGAGTATCATATTTTACATGTATTATATCTTAGATATTCCTATTTCCATTTTAGATTAGTAAACTAAAACTAAGTTGAAAGACTCTATATTACTCTATTTTATTTTTCCTTTTTTTAATGAGTCGAAATTAATACGTGATATTTAGAATCAAAGTCAGAATTAATTCTAGATCCCACTCATTACAGAGTCTGTTGGCTGAATTACTAAATTATGAATTTTAATTTATTGCAGTCACTTGCACAAATAAGGTAACATTCATTAGTTTGGATAATTATAGAATCTTTCAGGAAATATTAACCAATAATTTTGTTCCAATAATTAATGAAACAATATATACATATCATATTACATATCCCTTTTATTACTTAAAATTATGTATTTAAAAATATTAATTTTTGTTGTTTTGTTTTCATTATTGTTTATGTTTTGGACGAGATTAGCATGCCATTAACAAAATTTCATTATAATTTAAACTTTCTCAGAATATAGCAATAATGAAAGACATACTAAATAAAAATTATTAGTGTAGGAAATGCTAACACTGCTATTTTTCAATAGAACATTCATTCTTTAACCATTAGTTTTAAAAATTGACATAAAAATGGTTGCATCATTTTTTCTAAGTCACCATTTTCATTTAAATACAGTTACACAAATGATTAAGATGCTGCTGTGGAATATAACTGATTAATAAAGATAATATTGGTTATGAACTTCTCAAATTTAGTTAAATTTTTTGCTTTTCATTTTCCAACCAATACTATCATGTGAGCATGGAATAGCCTTTGAAAAACTACTTATTCTGTCATGAAACATATGTTTAAGTTTCCTAGGATTTTGTATTTTTTTAAATTTTTTCATTGAGGTAATATTTTTTTACATCATTGTATGTTGGAGTGATGGGATCCGCCACTGGTGATACTACTTTAGTGCTCTAGGACTTTCGACCAGATATGTTGTTGTTCAACTGCAATGAATCTGTCACTCAGCTCACGCTCCGCCCATAGTGATCTGGCCCTGGGACAATTTCTTAACGGCCGAGAAACATTTATCACAGAGCGCAGTTCCTGACTTTACAGAGCAGCAGAGATGAACGAGCAAAGAGTCACCTATGCAGAGCTGAAGCTGGCAAAGGACTCAAAAAGGCCGCAAGTGAAACCTAAAGGGAGTAAAAGCTCCACTACCGTAACAGAGCAGGGAGTAACCTATGCAGAACTAAGTCTTCACAATGCTGCTCTGGATCCTCAGGAGAATGGCAAGTCCTGTCACCTCAAAGGTAAAAAAAAAAAATACTTAGCAGACGCACAGCAGAACTGTTCTGGGAGATGTAGAGGGGTGGAGGTGCACCAAGAATTGGGAATAAACTGACATATTTTTCATTTGTGAGGATCAGAATTTGGCATTGGAATATGGTTTTCTAGCAGGAAATCTGATGGGTCTTTTTTTCCAGGTATTGTTATAATTTATAATTGTTGACAAACAAAAATTCGTGGGTGTATTGTTTACTAAAAAAGCAATGTTATACTCTGGAGTAAAGATTCCAGTGGGAGATAGAAGTCACAGGTCCAAATTTATTTCTGTAACTCCCTGTGCATGTAGATTTTGTTATGTGTAAAGTGAACGACTGTCTCCATCCGTCCTTTCTCAGTGTTTCTATTTCTCTCCCTGCAGGCTTAGCAGCACCTCCAGAGAAGTGCATTGCTGGAACCTTGGGACTCACCTGCCTTGTCTTGATAGGCATTATTGTGGCAGTGTTGGCTATTTCCTGTAGGTAAATTTATGAAAGATTATATAATGGGACTTTTCACACAATGATTGTCAGTGCCTTTTAATATCTCATAATATTAAGGAATAGAACTATTGTGTTAATCTGACAGTTTAATTAAATGTTGAATGGTTAATCTCACCTATCAAAGCACAAATATAAAGAATGATTGCAAAGATTATTTTATGTAGATTCAGATATCATGATTCAAAGTCACGCTTTAGGAGACTGAAAGACTCTATTGAAAACTATGAAATGATTTTTGATATTTGGAAACTACAGACTGTAAAAGATGGTGAAATTTGACTCTAAATTTTTGTGATATTTTCTCCCAAATCTTTATTCTTTGTTAATTTTTTCAGAGACTTAATTTTATCATTATATGTCTATTATTATAACTCTACAAACATGCAATATTTCTAATTTTGGAATATTAAATTGATTATTAATTACTGAAAAGTTTAATTTTTATAAGCATTCTCATATTTTTCTAGATACTACTGAAGAGCCAAGGCAGAATGGTTTCTCCTCAGAGCAGAATGATTGCCCAAATGTAACAAAAAGCCAGGAAGGTACACAATGATTCCACAATTCTGATGTTAGTACAGTTTATATTATGCATATATGTTAGACTGGGTAAAAAGGTTACAAATTTTCTGGTAAAACATACATTATGAAATCAAATAAATATATTCATGAATAAAGATAATAGGAGGGGGTTCATCATCTGCAACAACAGGAAGAAAATTCACTTAGAACCTCTACACCCATGGGGCCTATTGGCTCATGTCCTGTTGCTATTATATCTATATAAACAATTCTGCTATTAAAAATGACTTTATTTATTCTTGTCAGGACTTACACAGTGCATATTACTTGTGTGATTTTGATCCATATGGACAAATTAATTATAGCATGAGAAGCTACCTCTTATCTGTGATTGTGTGTTGTATGTCCTAGCTGTGATGTGTGTGCATGTGTTATGCACATGTATATTCATATCCAGTTGTATATATGATATGTCTTATATTATTAAATCAAATAGTTTTAATTAATAAGTCATAATTTCCCTTCAGAATACCATTGTGGCCCTTGTCCACAGGGGTGGTTTTCATACTCCAACAACTGCTATTACTTTAGTGCTGAAAAAAAAAACCTGGAAGGAGAGCATGAGGGCCTGTCAGTGTATGAACTCTCAGCTGCTCTACATAGAATCTCAAGAAGAAATGGTAAGAAATTCAGTGTCTCAACCACTTTATTGAAAACATTTCACTCAATTTTATACTTGTAGAACTCATAGATTTTTGTACAAATTTGTAGTTTATTTTCAAGTTTGTATAACATTCCATTTTCTGATATTGAGGATTTTGCTAAAAACTTTAACCAGTTAATAAACATTTAAATACCCAGTTCTTGGCTTTCTTAGAGAACCATTATACCAATATACATATATATATATTTATATATATATAATACATGTGTGTATATATTAAATAGATTGCTGTTTAATACACATCAAGAAAGGTGACCATTTTTGATCGGGTAGATTAATCATCAAGTGAATGAAAATTGTGTCTGCAGAGAAGATCCTGAATAGAAGTCACAGTGCACCCCAGACATCCTGTCTGTTCTCTCTTCACTCTTGCTGTCTGGTTATTTAATCACTGATTTGACTTTTGGTTTCATAGATCTTTTTCCTGCCTATGAACTGAAATGCAATCATACTTGTATATGCTTTCGTTCCTGTCAAGCCACTCCCCTATAATTCCTCAGTAATCCATCTGCATATTGCATTTATCTGCAATTTTTCTAATTTTCACTGCAGATTTTTGATGATAACATTTTAAAATCCATTCTGTTTAATGTGTCAGGTGCCCAAAGTGAGTGTCATCTTCTCAGAGATAAAGAAGCTTCCTGAGTTCCGTATTTTCAGTCATAGGGTAACCTTAGTTATCCCAACTCCACTTCCCAGTCCTGCTCACCTGTCCCTGGTGGTGGGAGGTGAAGCATGTCCAGGCTACTGACCTTTGTCACTGTCCTGAGGCATTGCCCTTGTTAGGCTGCCCTGCTGTTGCTGCACAGGACCCCTCACCTCAGGGAGGAATGGCAGCCCTGAACCCCTCCTGTTGTACATTTGTACTGGCAGGTCATAACCCTGGTCAGAATTTTATCTTGTTCACATGACAAGAAGAATGAAGTTCCAAAATATAAATGCTTAGGAGCTCATGTTATATAATTGTGATGTACCTGTGAGAGTTTTGGCATCATGCTGTTAGTTTTCACTACACTGTGTGTATATGGTGTAGGATTGGAATCTGTCTCTTCCTTCTGAAAATGTAGAATATTTTGAAAGAACACATTACTTGTGTTATTTTAAAAAAAATGAAGCCTTTCACATTCCTATGTAAGTGAAAGATCTTTATGTTTGAATAGAAATTTATGGAATTCATACGGGCTTTGTCATGGATTGGAGTCTACCGTTCTGGCAGCGATCAGCCATGGATATTGGTAAATGGGTCATCTTCCCAACTAGAGTAAGTTATATTTAAATAATGTTATAGTAGCATTAAAAATGCTATTGCTTTTTGGTTTGCCCCACCATTATAGAACTTAAGAGAAGAAAGGTATGAAAAGGAATATAAGAAGAATGATGTTAGTGCTTTGAATTTAAATTATAGACATGAAGAATGGTGTTGAACGTGAGTGGAATATTGATAAATATTGAAGAAAGGAAAGCTCAGTTTTTCTTAGTCCCAACTCTGGCAATATTCCAAAATATTGTCTTCATCCATTTTCAAAATAGGCTTATATTGCAATTAAAAGCAATGCTATTGTTCTTGGTTTGCCCCAACATTCTATAACAACAGAATTATGCCTTTTTCTTTATTACAGGATAAGAGAATCATCATCTGCTAACTATCACTGTGTTACCCTACAATCTACCTATTATGCAGACAATTGTGAATTTCCAAAGATGTATTATTGCAAGCATAAGATGTAAATTAAAACAAACAAACAAAAAAAAAAACTAAGTTTGGATTTATTTGTGTAACTTTCCAATTCAGGAAATGTCTTGTTATTGAGATTGTTTTTTGTTTTAATGGCATTTTTTTTCAAAATAATTGTTTAAATACACCATGTTCAGCCAAAGTACAGATAGCATTACTTTAGTGCCTGTCATTTTTTGTGGTTTTCAACCTTTAGAAAGATCATTGGAGGCCTCCCTGTTGGCACAGGGGTTAATTACAGTGCTATCAAGCTATGGCCAGCCACTGCAGTATGAGTTAGATCCACAGGGAGCAACCCACATGGCTCAGGGGACCTCTCCTGCCTAGCCTGCTGCTCCCCTCAGCAGTGTACTTCAGTCAGTCTGCCTGCTCTGTTCTCCACTCTGTCTCTGGTGAATCTGGTCACCCCCCACACCTCTGACCTATACACAAGTTCTTAAATGCATAAATAAATCTTTTTTTTTTTTTTAAAGAAAGCTCATTTGCTGTGTGAGTCCAGTTATTAGTAATGACAAAATCACTTTCATACAGAAACTGGATTGAGGGTAGAAAGGGACTGAGGAGAGGTAGGATGAGGAAATGGCCACTGATTTGTTCTTTGTTTCTTTTTGAAATGATGGAACATTTTCAGTGCCAACAGTAGTGATGTTGCAAACTCTGAACATGGCAAATGGCTTTGATTTATTCACTTTACATGGCTGAATTTTATGCTTTATTTATTATATCTCAATAAATTGTTTTAAAAAATTCTGTGATGACCTTTGAGAACATTTAATCTTTAAAGTAATTTGGAGTTTACACATCTTTACCTTATTTATTTATTCAATCTACATCAACCTTATTCCTTCCTTAAATTAGATTTTTTTTTTGCTCATTATGCTTTGTGTTTTCACAGAAGGCATAGAGAAATGATGTTATGCTTTCGTAAATACACTTCATTTAAAAAGGTCTGAACTATCTGTCAGCAATATTTGGTGCTGTAAAAAAACAACACAACTGAAGTTGGCTCATTGGATTTATATGCGGTGTTTTTGCTGACTTTATGTATTAATTTTATCAATCTTATATATGAATCTATAATATGAGTATATGAATTATCAATTTTGATGTAAATAGTTATTTTATTGTAAATAGTCAAATGTTGTTTTTTCTTTCCAAGCGCAATTACTTTTTTTAATTGTCTTTTCACAGACCGGAGTTTTATATCCAATGTTGAGTAGCAGTTACTGTGATTGATCTCTATGTATTCCCATTTTGGGGATAACAATTTCAATATTCATTCTTAGATATGAAGTTTATGGTAACTTTTTCATCACCACTATCCAATTAATATTTTGCCATCACATTCTCATTTTTATAATGGTTTTATATTATGTTTTTATTCATTTTGCATCAATTGGAATGAGAAATGTTTTCTTTATAAAATGATTATGAAGTAAATCATCTTTATTTCTTTCAAATATTAGATCATCTTGCATTTTTGAAATAAAACTATAGCAATCTTTCTGTGTATTCTTTATTCATGTATATATTTGATTAAATCAGCACATTTTTCTTTCTTATTCTCAAAAAGAAAAGACTAAGTTTGAGTTCACAGCTATGCATTAGAAAGTTTTTGAATGAAGGTTACATTAGGAAGGTTTCCTGTTTCTACTACCCAGAGTGCTTTAGTATTTAAGTGTTGTTTCACTGCTGATATCATCTTAGCATGTAACCTATTTTAGGGTAGTTTTATGTAAAAACTCAGTAGCTGTAACACATATGAAGTTTCTTCATGTAGAACTATTTGCTGTACAACTTGTTGGTGATTACATTTTCTACAAATTTTCTATTTTGTGTAGACATTAATATGTATTCATAATACTGTCTTATGTACCTACTAAAAACCATAATGGGGGGGCTCCCTCATGTCACAGGGATTAGTCTGGTGCTGGTCAAGTAATCGCAGCCACTACTGATGAATTAGATCCCAGGCCAGGGGGCTAAACCACTTGCACAGAGACCTCTTCTATCTTGCCTGTTCCTCGCCTCAGCAGTATATTTCAGTAGATCTGCCTGTTTTGCTTCCCACTCTGTTTTTTGTGTATTCTCTCACCTCCTGCACTCTAGCCAACAGCCCTTTATTGTATGCATAAATAAATAAAAATAAATCTTTTTTAAAAGATTTATTTATTTTTATACAAGAGCTGGGGTACAGACCTGAGGCTCAGGAGGGTGAGAGATTCACCAAAGACAGAGTGGGGAGCAGAACAGGCAGATGGACTGAAGACACTGATGAGGGGAGCAGCAGGACAGACAGGAGAGGTCTGCTGTGCCATGTGGGAATCTCCCTAGTGGGCGGGGAATCTAACCTGACTGCAGAGGCTGAGGACAGCTCACTGCACTGTGCTCAACCTGCTGCACCACA